CCGCCCAAATAGTGTCAAAGACTTGCTCCAGGAATTTTTGGCACGCAGAGACTCGGAGTGAGAGAGAGAGATAGCGAGAGTTAGAGCTATTCATATTTATGTGCATCTGACAGAAACACACAAACGTACATTTTGCATGCTACAGATGCAAGCCATAAGTTACTTTTGGCCATATTTTACAATTTATTGCGCCTGTCAATTGCCAACAGGCAACAAAATAAAAACCAAGCAGCCAAGTTATAAATGTATCCACTACTATATATAGAAATATATATGATATATATAACATATTGTGCATATATATTTATATATATATATATATGAAAAAATACTCGTAAGCAAATTTATGCTGCTGCACTTTGATTTCGCTGGTAGAACAGAAAGAAACAAGTAAAAGTGTTTGACTGGGGAGTGCTCGACTTGGATATACCCAGACATATATATATATAGCCTGCACAGAGCTGGCTAGTCAAACAGCCACACAGAACTCTTTCGACTCAGCTCGTCATCCTCACCTGAAACATACATATATGCGCTATGGCGTCTGCCACGCCTCCTTCTGCCTGTTAGCCACATTTCCATAAGACCATCACGCGCCGACTTCCCATTTGCAATCGCAAAGAAGTAGCGAAATAGTTGGGCGAAAACTTTGGGCAAAAGTAAAATCTCTGTGCATTTATAATAAATTGCTGGCAGAGTTGCTGCTGCTGCGATTCTAAAAGACAGAGACAGGGAGAGACAAATGGCAACTCTGGCAGCGCCTGAGGCCAATTTTTGCGCAAGCAACAAATATTTTCACTTAGCTCAACTGAAAAGTGCGCAAATAAATTTGAAATAAATTTTGATTTCAATTTGATCTACAACTGTGAATAGAGAAATTCCAAGTATAAATAAAATATTTGTTGTTAACAAAGTTGTTAATAAGCTTTGTCTGTATGCTAAATGCTGAGACTTTGTGCAAACTAAGTTTGAGTTTAAAGTGAGATAGGATTACCGACAACCTTTAGCATGTGACTTTGTATGGTATGGTTTGTAATGTTGGTGGGTAAATATATATGTATGTGTGTGCATCTGTATGTTGTCCTATAGGGCAATCTATACAATGAAATCTTACTGGACTGCAAACGATAATAATACCTGACCTGCCTTACAGTCTTAAGTACTACCTTCTCTGCTCGTCGCTTCGCCTTTCCTTACCTATCTGCATCTCTCTCTCTCTCTCTCTCTCTCTCTCTCTCTGTCTGCTATTCCTTCTCTCTTTCTCTCTATCTCTTTCTTTGCATCTTTCTATCTGTTTCTTTATCTCAATTTTTCCCTAACGTTTTATTCGCCTTCTTTCCGCTTTAGTACTGTCTCCTCCCACTCTACTTTCTACATTCCGATGCTTATATATTTACTGTGATTAAGCATTTCCTATATATATTCTAACTACTTTTTCCTGATTAATGAATTTCTAAGGAGACTCTGCTTTGCCAAGCTCTATATATAATCTAAATATGCCCATAGAAAGGTCGCTAATCCCTAACCAATTAGTAAAGGAAAACTAAACAGACTTTGACAGCTGAAGGCTGCTTTGGCTGTTGGTACTTGACCTTTGATTTAGTCGGCTTTTATTTTTAGCAGAGAACAACTTTTCTGGGCCTAAATTTGGAATCGATCGAAGAGCGGCTGCTCGTGCTCGGGGGAAATAGAGCGAAATGGCTTATAAATAAGAAATCGATAGGCTATATTAATATATAATTGGCTGCAAGTGGTCGTCTCGCCTGAAGCTGTGCCCAGGCCTACAGTGAAGACTCGCAAAGTGGCTTTTTGACTTTGGCCATTAACATAAACCTGACACGTTGCCAGCGACGCCCACTGGCGCGTTGTCAGTGGCAGAGTTAACACTCGAGTGGGCTACTTGCTACTTGGCCACATGGCTAGGGTATTCGAGGGGCGGGTGCCTCAGACACAGCTTACGAGATTTATGATAAGTCACGATTTTGAGTGCTAAGCGATTTCGGCAACGATCCGTCGGCAGCTAAACATTTGCAATTATTTTGCTTTGCTTGATGGTTGTTCGTGTGTTTCTTTGTGTTCCGCTGACGTTATTCATGCAATGCTCATTTAACAATTTGGTATTGGTTAAACAAAGTCGGCAGCCAATTAAGCCAACTGCGACGAGCTGATGGAATTACGAGGCGTGTCTGCCCCCAACTAACCGAAGTGCTAGGCAGGTGCAGTGGCCAGTGGAAGCTGCCAACCGCAAGCAATTTGCGAACGAGAATTTAATATCGCTCTATCAGCCTAAATAGTTGCACTACCTGGCCATTTATGGATACCCTGTAAAAGTGAGACATCGAAAGGGATACTCAACACAACTATTTCTAGATAGAACTCTACATTCATATGATTAGTATAGACTACATTATGCTTCTAGGGTATCTTCTAGTCTAGGCGACTCTTGACAATACGTTCGAGACATGGAAGATCTCTATACAGAGCATTTTCTTTGTCACATAGCTACTATTAATACAAATATTTGCTCAAAATCTACCATTGTACAGAGCATTATCTAGTCGACTACTCTTGAGATTACCCTTTATATACTCCCACTCTATATATATATTTATTACATTAGATATTCTAGTATAATTGCCAATCATCTTCCCTTATGGAACACATTTGTTGTCATTCGCCAATTTACAGGGTGTCTGCTAGTCGAATACTCTTTACAATATTTATGTTAAATTTGTGCTACATTAGATCTCAACATCTTGCTCTATAAAACATAGCAGTATATTTGTAGGGTATCTTCCAGTCGACTACTCTTAGCTTAAAGTTGATTTGTTCAAGCAACATTACATCTCAACTTCTTTTGGCGTCTTCCTATCTATATTAAGCCTGCTTATAGGGCATCGGCTAGTTGTCTACTCTGAACTCTCTCTTTCTGCCTCCCTCTTTCTCCCTCTGCCTCTGCTTATCTCTCTCGCACCTCGTTTTTTCTACAATTGCAATTTTCTGTATGCCTTGCAATTTGCTATCGAACGTATTTCCATTTTTTGCTACGCTGCTTCACATAATTTCAATGAACCGCATTTACATGCGGTCTTATCTGCCTCACTCTCTCCTTCTCCCTCTCTCTCTCTCTTATTGTCCCTCTCTGTCTTTTGCTTTCCATAGGTTTATCTGTTCTGCCGCATATCCATGGTTTTCAAGCGTTGACAGTGTCCTCGCCGCTCGCTGCTCGTTGCTCGTTGCTCAATGAATTCGCATTGTTGTTGCTCGCAGTTTTGTGGTTTTCGGCATGCTTAATGCCAATCTCCATGTGGCACATGCGAGCCACACGCTGCACCGCCGCCGCACCTACGCAGCAGCCTACGCCGCCTACACCGCCTACAACGCCTACTGCGCCTGGTACATAATACAAAAATCGCAGCAACTCAGGCGCATTTCGTAGATACGCGCACTTTGTGCATTCGCCCACCGGCAGTGGCACCTGCAAATAGGCATTCGATATGCATGAATAGTCACTACATCGTCCAGGTACTTCCCTCCTATTGCTGAAGCTCTCAGCTAGTTGACTGGACTGCTAAGACTGCGAGGGCAAAACGTGCAAATAAATAAAAAAATATTCTTGTATAAATTAATCAAACATCTTTGATGCTGCACAAAAATAGAGAAGTTAATAAAGAATAAAAAATAATAAATATAATACGAGCAAATAAATCAGCATAAATTAACTTGTGGATAAATTAAGTAGAATATTAAAAAATAAGCGGAAGCATAAAAGAAATGTAAATTTAAAGGGAATATCCCTACTGAATCATCAAACTAAGAAAAAAAAATAGATATGCTTAAGTACAAAATATATTAAGTAGAGAAACAAATTTCATCTAATTTATTTATTATAATTATACAATTTTTATTTGTATTATTATTTTTTATTATTATTTTATTATATTATTTCATTATTTTATGCATCAAAAACAATTTTTTATTAAATCCACATAATAATTTAAAAGAAAAAATTATTAATAGAAATATGTAAATTTTTTATTAATTTATTTTTTATTAATTACTCTGAATTAATATAAATATATTGTTGATATTATGCTATATAAATTTAGTTATATATTTACAGAGAACATTCAATTAGATACACTAACCATAATTTTTAATCTTCTCTTCGTGGGAACTGCCTTTAACATATGTCAACTTCTTTGTTCTATCAGTCAATTTATATGTTTGACTGATTAACAATTGAAATATCATAAACCATTTTTAAAAAATTAAATTTTCTGATTACGATTCATTGATGAAGTTGTCTTTAAGTTCGTTATATTTATTATTTGCGGGAGGTAAACGCTTTGTCCAAGGCCTCTTCGCTTTTAAAGCTATTATTAACTTGCGAACACACCTTATATCAATATTATCTGTATACTTGCTTACTCACATGAAAAAGAGGTATATTAGCTCTAGACTTTCTACCTTCATTCACTAACAAAGCTAAAAAGCTTTGGCTATGTCCTAGAGACTCTTAGCCAAGCAGCTAAGTTGTTAAGCCTTTATCAAAGTATTGGGTAGTCGATCATACCCGGCTAGCATTATATATAAATATATATGTCAGAAACCGTTATTAAAAGAGAAAAGCCCTCCACTATCGTGATTACATCACAAAATGTATTTCTGTCCCGCTTCATCAGCGGGATTTATTTATATAGAGACAGCTGACGTTAGGGCTGATGCCACGAGTCGATTACTCGATAATTGATAATTTAATTAATTTATGATTTGTTTACGTCAGTTGGCCATTAGACGAATTCACGGGTGGCCCCCCTGCTGCTATCACTGAAATGTATCTAACTGATTAGAGCTCGTAAATCTCACATGGATTAGCTCATCAGAGGCGAAACGAACTGCTATCGCGATTAGGCTAGTCAAGTGCCCAGCAATCGTTAGATAAGATTTGCCAACTTTTTCGGTAATCGAATAGAACTATAAGTAAAATTAGTTTACTCGGTTTGGCGTTTACTTTGTGGCTGACCAAACGTGAAGTACCACAAAAGGGACTCGAAATGCTGAAGCAAACGCTGCTCGTCCTGGCTCTGTCCGCTCTGAGTGCCGCTGTGCTGGCAGCCGACTATGATCCTTACATCGATATACCCTTCAAGAGAATCAAGACTTCGGTGAGTGCTGCAAATTGCTTTCAAATGGAGCTGTAATGGGGTAAGCGCGTAGGGTTAGTAGGGGTAGGGCTGAGGGCTGCTAGAGTGGAGAGCAAATTATCATGTTGAGTTCGTGTTGGGCATGGAATAGAGATAGGATATTGTGAGTTAAGTTGTGCTCAGAGAAGTTCAAATGAACAAGTGAACAATACATATGGTTTATATGGGCTAATACTATGAACTAGTGAACTAGTGAACCACTGCTCTAGTTCTCAACTCTCTCAGTCTGTGAAGTTTATTCAGTTAATCAATCTGAATCACTTCCCGCCAAAATTTCATAATGAGCAGCTGAGTTAGAGCACAAATGAATATAGTAACAATAAAAGAACTAGTCCTGCCTGCTCTTCTTCTCTCTCCTTCTCTATCAGTGAATCACGCGCACATCTCTAGCTTATTTCGCTCGAGCTTTAGTGAATGTTAAGCAATGGCTTTGGCCATTCGGCCATTTGGCCATTTTGCAGGCTGAACGCATCGAATCGCATGGCTATCCGGCCGAAACGCACGAGGTGGTAACTGAGGACGGCTATGTGCTGAACATGTTCCGCATACCGTATTCACCGAAGCTGGCGAATGGGAACGTACAGCGTCCGGCCGTGCTCATACAGCACGGTTTGTTCAGCTGCTCCGATTGTTTCCTGCTCAATGGGCCGGACAATGCTTTGGCCTACAACTATGCGGATGCGGGCTACGACGTTTGGCTGGGCAATGCCCGTGGCAATATTTACTCACGCAACAACACCAGATTAAGCACGAACCATCCATATTTCTGGGCATTCAGCTGGCACGAAATCGGAGCTTACGATCTGCCCGCCATGATAGATCACATCCTCGAGACAACCGGCGAGCAGGCTGTCCACTATGTGGGTCACTCCCAAGGCTGCACCACCTTCTTTGTGATGGGCGCCTGGCGACCCGAATACAATGCGAAGATTAAGTCAGCTCACATGCTGGCACCGCCCATCTTCATGGGCAACACGACTACTGGCATGATTTTAGCCACGGCTAAATATATCGGCTCCCCTGGGCTGGGCGCCGAGTTGCTGCAGAACCAAGTCTTCCTACCCATGAACCCGGTCATTCAACGCATTTTGGATACGGCCTGCAGCAACGACCCCTACTTCCTGAGCTACTGCAAAACTCTGGCTCTGCTGTGGGCTGATGGCGTGGGCAATCTGAATGTGGTAAGTACCTGCTTATGCCTAAGTGCTGTCTTAAGCACCTCTATTGAGCGCTCCTAATCCACACGCTCCTCACAGACCCTTCTCCCACAAGTCGCTGAGACCCATCCGGCTGGCATTTCGACCAATCAGGGCATCCACTTCATACAATCCTATGTGTCGAACGAATTCCGTCGCTACGACTGGGGTCCAGCCAAGAACAAGGCTGTCTATGGTACCGAGGTACCTCCCTCTTATGACATAACCAAGATCACATCGAAAGTTCATCTGTATGTGGGCCTGGCTGATGAGTCGGCCAATGTCAAGGATGTTGCGCGGTTGCCCGAGCTGTTGCCCAACCTGGAGGAGCTGTACGAGATACCCGATGAGACGTGGGGACACTTGGACTTCATATTCGCCAGGCAGGTGAAAGAGGTGATCAACGATAAGGTGATTGCCTCTAGCAAGGCCTACGATCAGCTCTACAGCAACTAAACCTACGCAGTTGCCTAATCTAATCGCAAATAGCTTGTGGACAATGTTTCCAAATAAACTTTACGCCAAAACGACGCAGATACCTAGCTGAATGAGCTACGTTTAAGGATAAGCAAAGGGGCAGATAGCGATATTGGGAGTGGGAATGATACTGGAAATGGGTGCTAAGGAACTTAGAAAGAAATTGTGTTTCTTTGCTGTCTGCAACGGCTAATTACACAACGTTTTAGCTACCACAGTGTCTTCTGCTTCAACTATTTCATGTAAATACCCTGTAGCTATAAAAATTATTTAGCGGGGTATCATAAAGTTTAGCCAGTGTAAAGCTATAAAATGAGTTTACATAACTAGAAGTCCGATCGAGGTAAATGGTTTCCTATAACACTTCAAATATTTATCAGCTATTTAATTTTACTTTCAACTTTCACAATTTCAGTAGAGATGAATAGAAAACTAATTGCAGATAGATTCTTAGTATAATTATATTATTATTCTGGGTATATTATGAGCAAGCAAAAGGATCTGGAGCTATGTCTGTCCGTTTGTCAGTCGCACAATGTTGACTTGGCATAGCTACAAAAAATATTCTAAAAACCACTTCAGACAGGGTATTTCCTAGTGCATCACTCTCCATTTAAGTGCACTTAATTGTTCGTTTGTTTGTTTGTTCTGTGTTTTCTTCTTTTTTTATTTTTTTCTGCGCTTGTTGACAAAGTTTTTCGCCAAGCACGTGGTTAACACCAAGCACAAGTTATCCGACAGTCCGCGACGAGGCGGAAAGGCGGGAAACGGGAAAGGGGCAAAAGGGGAAATGGGAATAGCTGACAAAATTATAGTAATTAGCGTCTGGCTGGACCGTTGGCCACAGCGAAGTGCTGCAAATATGTTTATAATTGTGATTTACGGGCTTAAGGTGGACTAATAGAATGAGCTCTTCCTCGAAACTATAAACTCAATTCTAATTATCGATAGAGCCAGGAATCTATGACTCGGAAATGCGAAATTCCATTAGCTGAGTGCAGCATTAAATAAAGCGAACTGAAGTTAATGGAGTTAAAGCTTCCATTGAGTGGATAGATAATCTGTGAGGTATATATCGAGATATACATAGAGATATAGATGTATATATAAATAAAAATATAGATATAGATACAGGTAAGGATATTGAGATAGATACAGATATAGATATAGATATAGATCTAAATATAGATTGAAGATGTAAATATTGATTGATTTGAAAGACATACAGATCAAGATAGGGATATATCTATATATCTATATATATAGATAAGCAGACTTCAATAGGTAAATATAGATTGAGGAGAGTGAGAGAGAGAGAGAGAGAGAGTCACTTCCCTCTAGTTCTGTCTATTTCTCTCTTTTCTTATAGCATTGCTTCTGCTATTTCACTCTTTGTGCCTCTCCTCCTCTCTCTCTCTCTCTCTCTCTCTCTCTCTCTCTCTCTCTCTCTCACATCCACATTCCCACTTTCTGCCTCTCTTTCTCTCTCTCAAATTCTCTCCATTGGAAGAGAAATCAATAACAGAGAAAAAATAACAGTAAAGTAGAAAAAAAGAAATTTAATATAAACAACAAAGGACTTCAAGCGCACATAGGAGCATTTTAGAGCGAGAGAGAAGGAGAGGTCGTGCGTGTGTAATTTAGAGGGAGAGGTAGCGTCTGAGAGAGGGAGAGAGAGAGCTACTCATTGGCAAAGCTAAACCGCAGGCAGCGAAGCAACGGAATATTCATTAATGACAAGTTGCTGATATGGAAAATGGATAATGCAGATGAAGATGAGGCTGAGGCTGAGGCTGAGGCTGAAGCTGACTAAGAGGATACAAATGCGAATTGGAATATGTGAGGCCAATGCTAAGTATGGGAAGCTGAAGACGTTACGGTTGAATGAAGCTCAAACACAATAAAAATAAATGAAACTAAAAAATATAAATAGTTAAAAAAAACTTAAAATTGTAATGAAAAGTAAAATGTAAGAAAATAAATAAATGAAAATGATTAGTTAAATTGTGTAAAATTTAAAGAAATAAAAAATAAAAATATATAAAAATTAAGTAAGATATAAAAATATATAGAAGTTAAGAATAAGTAATAAATTAATAAAAAATAAATCGAAGAAAAATAATAAACATAAAACAAAATAAATAAATAGAAAAATAATCTAATTAAATTAAAATAAAAAAGAATAAATTAAAATATAAATTAATAAAACAAAATAGATTTATATCAGAAAAATAAAAAACAAACAAATTTAATAAAAGCTGTCAAGACGAGGCCACTTGGCCACGTCCACAAACGTGATTTCATTTACCTTGTATACAACTATAAGTCTTAATCCTTTTCTGCACATTGCCAATTTGGCGGCCAAGAGGCAAAAGGCAAACAAAAAAATGTTGAAACGTATTTCTCATGCGGCAATGTCAAAGTTTTTGCTGCAGCAGCGATTCGGTTGCTTCTAAGTGGCAGCAACTTATATTTTTTTACATTTCTTTATTTGCTTTAGCTGAAAACTGAAAAATGAAAAAAACAGGCGACAACAATCGCAGAAGTTGCGTTTCGCGTTCGGCGAATTGAAAAATTTGCGCCGAGAAATGAGAAAATGCAAAGTTTGAGATAAAAACAAGAGAAATTTAGAAGAAATTTTACAAGTTGGCGTCGACTGCGTTTGCCAAAATGTTTATTGTCAAAAAGTTGCAACAAAAGTTTTTCTACTCATTTTTTACTTTTCACTTGTATTTTTTTTCGCTCACTTAGCCCAGTTAAAAGAAGCGCATTTATGTAAATGGCCAAGAATATTTATGTAAATGCGTCCAGCTAAGTGAGTAAACACACTGCGAACGTTGTAATTTAAGCTCTGACATTTTGTTGACGCGCAAAGTTTTTCCATTTGCGACAATTAACGTGTCATTTGCATATTAAATGAGGTTTTGACATTTGCATAAGCTGATGAAAATTTCAAATTTTAACTGACAATTGTAGTAGGCAAGCAGTGCAAGCGATAGAAATTAAACGCACTGAACTGCTTACCATGAAAAGCAGTTGCAATGGTGAAAGCAGTGCTCTGAGTGAGAGAGTATAAGGTTAGAAACTTGGCTAAACATTGCAGTGCAGTAACCAGTATAGATGTATGTAAGCAATATAATACTATATATTTGAGTATAAAGAAATAAAGTCTATATATAATATAAATGTTTATACTAGTAGATTAATCAGCTTAGTGGCTGACAGTTAACCTCTGTGAGCCGAGCACAGCTCAAAGCCCGTTTTACTTCAGAGTATAAGATTCGAAACCTAGCTAAGCAATACGAAGTATATTATGTTATAAGATCAAAGCTAAACTGACAGGCATCATGTCCAGAAAGCTGATGTAAATGATGCCCTGCATCATTTCAAGTATTGAATGAGACTATGTTCTAAGGGTTCCATTGTAAGGAAAATCTTCTATTCGCTGCGTTGTGCATGATTAACTCGTATTTTCTACAGTGCCCCCCAACTGATTTTCATGAATTCAAATAATCAAGACGGGTTAGATTGCTTAGATAGTGAATATTAAAAGAAGAAGTAGTTTTTATCCGCCTGACTCTCCCTCCTCTACCTTTCGTTTATTCATTACCTATCTTCTCTCTCTCTCATCCCACCTTGTATCTCGCATATCTCTCTCTCCCATTCAATCACTTAGATTTTGTTTCATTTCTCTCTCTTTTTCGTTTTCTCTCTCTCTCTTTGAATTGTGACTCCCCTCTCACCTTTCTATCTCTTTCTATCTATATCTGCAACTCTGATTATATGAATCTCTTCTAACCTTCATGACAATTCTTTATAGTTGCCCAGGTAGCAACTACTTTCAATAGCGGAACTCTGGATGACATAATTGAAGATCTGCCCTTTAGTGATTCCATATTCATTGCTCAAAGTCAAACTAATTGGCCAAGACGAGGAAAAGGCGGACGGAGAAGAGTTTATTGACACGCTGGGAACCCGAGCTGAAACATAATTGAATGAACATATCAAATTTCAATCAGTGCTAAATCTTATTAAGAGCAAGAGCAAAACAAAAATAGCAAAATCAAGAATAGCAACAACAACAGAGGAGCAATCAAACGGCCCGCAGCTAATCAGGCTCTAATGGCGATAAATATTTCATTCCATATAGTTTGGCAGATCGCACGAGCAGCGCCCGCCGAGGCACGCCCAGTTGTCCAGTATTTTGCACAGCATCTTCGGGCATCGCCAGGCAAAGACAAAAGGCAGCAGCGCATGCCAGACAAAATCTGCGATGCGATCGACAATCGTGAAAGCCCAGACCAGGAGACGATGACGATCGAACACAGCGGCAAGGCAGGGCAGGGCCACAGCCAGTTGGTCAGCTTAAGGCGTAGTCTCTAACCTGCTCCGCCAACTGTGCCTTACCTGCTTGACCCTGCCTCTTGCCATTTTTGTGTTATGAATCGTTCAGTTCTTAAACAGTTTGCCAGTTGAACATGGGAGGGTGCAACGACACAGATGAGGAGGAGAACATAAGGACGAGCAGGAGGAGAATGAGTAAGTGGATGCGAGTGGAGAGCAGCATGAGGAGTAGGATCGATATGAACATGAGGAGAAGCTGATGAATGAGGGGGCACATAAAGCTGAGTATGATGATGAGGTGAAGAGAGGGAAGAGAAGGAGCAGGATGAAGAGTGGGCTGATAAGGAGCAGAAGAGCAAACAGAAGGAAGAGTTTGAGGAAAGGGTTGTAGCTGTGGGTGAGCATGAGTCTGCAGATCAACCTGGAGATTGCCCTTAGGAACAGGAGGAGGAACCAGAGGCGGAGAAGGAGGAGTAGGATATATCTGCTTAAGAGGATGCTGCCTGACTGCCATTATGAGTAATGGGAGTAATGCCTGGGCATTTGTTTACTTACGGCGCTACATGGAAGGCAGCTGAGCAGCGAAGCTCAACTCAGCGCTGAGCTGCATGTGCTCTATGGGTTTTTTTGTAAGAGCTGTGGTTGGAATACGTACTTTACAGTGAGTAAGCTGAGGGCGAAAGTGGAAGATACAGACAGAGAGTTAGTC